CAGAGGGGTGCCCAGTGCCGGGGTGCGTGTGGGTTGGGTGTCAGTGAGGTCCTTGCCCCCCCTCGCTGAGCAGGGTGGAGTTGGCCGTGGTCGGGTCTGGTTGCCTCCGACGGGAAAAGAGGGCTCGGTGTGGTTGTGTTCGGGAAGGCACCTGCTGCTGTCAGGGGGGGAAAAAAAGGCAGCTTAAAATGCGCAGAAATTATTTTTTTGTTTCGTTTGTTGTTAGGTCTTTTGGTTTGTTTGTTTTGGGGGTTTTTTGTTTGTTTGTTTGTTTTTTGTTGTTTTTTTAAAAAAATTGTTTTTGTTCGTGTGTGTTTTGCTTGGTTTTGTTTTATTTCTCCTTTCCCCGAGTTCTACTCACTCACTGATTTTATTCCCAATAAGATGGGAAGGCCAGGAGTGCCAAACAAGGATACCTATCCTGATGCCTTCCTGCACTGAAGCTCAGTTTGGCGTCTTGAGTGCAGAGCTCTTGGCAGGTATTTCTCCACGGACAATTAATTTGAAAGGAACAACCATCATGACAAGCAATGCAAAACACACGGTACTGAGTTGCAGCCCTGCTGGTTTGCAGCAATTCATGGGGAAAAACCAGCACACAGCATTAACTGGCAAGATTTATATTCCTGATTGATTTTGGTTAACTTCATGCTTCCCTCAGGCAGATGGGGATTATATAGCCATGCCTTTGGGAAGGAAGGCATTCCTTAATTACATGCATTAATTAGATGGACTCTGCTGTATGGCCTTCTCAAGTGTGGAAAAATGCAAAACTTGCAGTCATGTGCATTTATTTGTAATAAAACTAAACACCCTTTAGCCAGTGATTTAAACAAAGACTTAACTGGACCATCAGCCTAAATAGAAGAGTCTTACAAGAGGGAAGTTCACAGGTTAATAGTTTAGTAAGCAATCAAACTAAAGCAGGGGCCAGCACACAACAAAAATGCCGCTAAACACATATGAGTTTTTACTGAAGATACAGACAAATAAAGAAAAACTGCAATACAAAGGTTTGAGGCTTTATTGGCATATTTTTCCTATTGTCTCTTTTTTTTTTTTTTTTTTTTTAAGGACAACCTGCACAGCTTTAGATGATAAAGCTGGCCATAATTCTCCTGTTGTGAAAAACTGGCAGAGGTGGGCTGAAGTTGGTTTTCTTCATGCCTCATTCTGCTTTTTCATGAGAACCACTGAGGAAGAGAGAAAATTATGGCAAAACAGAGAGCGAGCACATTGACCTCCTCTTCTTTAAGCCCTGGGGGTGCATAGCCTTGAAGTCACTGAAGAAACATCACTTAAGTAGCATTGTTCTTCTTTCAGGAATTGTCATCCGTGACTATGAAAAACAATATCCTGTGAGTTTGCTTCAAGCTTTCTGCCTCATTAGCTGTGGTCCTCTGATAAGCTGTACTCCAGGTTCTCCTGGGGAGGGTTTGTTCTTGAGGGGACATGGCCTTCCGTAGCTGGAAGTGGCTCCTCCTCGTGGGCAGGCAGAACACCTTTGCCAAAGCTTGGAGGAGCAGGAGGGGCGGTCCCTCCTTGCGCTGGAAGCGCTGCTGTCATTGGAGTGCCGGCAAGTCTCTGGACCCCGAGGTGAAAGCGTTTTTAGAGGAGAACACAGAAGTCACCAGCAGTGGGCACCTCACACCAGAGATACGACTGCGCCTCCTCACCCCTCGCTGCAGGTTCTGGAGGGAAAAACCTGACCTGTGGCCTTATGGGGACCCGTTCTGGGCAATTTACTGGCCAGGAGGCCAAGCCCTCTCCAGGTATGCAGCATGCATCATCAAAGTTGCTAAGTCCAGTGTGCTGTGAGCTAGGACGTCTGGCCTGGCTCTGTAGCGATTCCTAGTGATGTGTACCTGCCTTGTATGACAACACATTATCCATACTTCTCTCTGCTTCTACAGGAGAAGCACAATCTCTGCTGGTTGTCAGTGAAGTTTCAGCACTAAGTTATAGAATAACTTGTGGCTCTTAAGTTGAAATCTGTTGTCTTCAGTGGTGATGCACTTTGTTGCCAACAGAGCTGAATTTGGGTCTGTAGAAGAGCTGTGCAGTTGCCATCAAAACCTAGACATGTGTTTAATTCTATCACTCAGTGGCTGTCCAAACAGGAGAGCTAGTTTGTTTAACACACTGGGTTGTTTGTGTTGTTTGTTTTTTTCAGGAGACAGGCAGGAGTGGAGATGTGTGCCTGGTCTGTTGAGAAAAGTAGATTCATGCTGATGCACTTGCAGTGCTTTCTGAACCACTCTCCTTATTTAGGAGCTTTACAGTCAAGCCTTATTGTGGCTGTCTTTTAGTCACGTTGGAAGCCACATTTTTATTTTGGTCACTTAACTGTCAAAATCTCTTTAATGTTGCAGATTCCCAGGAACTAGTGAGAGCTTTTTTATTCTGTTAAATCTCTCATTTTGAACAGCAGACAAATATTTGTAATTTTTACAGCAAAGAACAAACTGTCAGACATTCCCCACATAGACAAAAGGGAAGAATCCGAATTGGGGCCTTGCTGTTTGTCTGCAAGAAGGCATAAATAGGAAGGCATTTTTGGCTGGGTAAAAGATGAGTCTTACACTTAAACTGAGAGTTGATTAGCCTGCCATTAAGATGAACTAGGGCTCTTTGGAACATTGTGTAATTAAATTAGGTAAGGTCATCTCTAAATTTTCTTACCGTATGATTCATATGCCCAGATATTTGGGTAACAGTAACAATTATCTGGCATTTCATTGCTTTATTGACTTATTGTTTATGCACTTGTTTTGATGTATTTGGAATGTCAGAAATTAGCTGCATAATCTGGAAAAGTAAAAGGGAGCATGAAAGGATGCTGCTTCCATAACTACGCTCATTTCACAGCTAGCATTTCTACATCAGGAGTTTCCTATTTCAAGCTGTTCCCCTTGGTGTAACCTAAGATACCTCCTTAACCCAGCAGGGCAGACAGCAGTCTCCAACAGCAGCATCATGCGCTGTGTTCATGACAGGGGATACAGTCGTTTCCAGCTGTCCTCAGTCACCACAATCATTAGCAGTAACTTGAGAACCAATCAGCTCAAAATGAGGCACTTGCTGCATGAGCCCACATCGTGCTTTACACAAGTCACCACAGGGAAGTCATTACAAATCCAAGCGTAGCCCCTAGAAAGTGGAAATGAGGTGCTTTCCAAACATCTCAACCCTGTCCTCATCCTGTCGGTGAACTATGGGCTGTCCGCAGAGAAATGGAGGTCACAGGGAAGTGTTGCCAGACAGCCGAGCTGAGCCTCTGCAGAAGCCTCCGGTGGGCTCAGAAAAGAGAGCCTTTGGAGAGCTTCAAAGTAGCAAATAATGCTACAACTTCATGGTAACAGCATAACGACGCTAAGCACCAGACCTTACTGGAGGTGATTTTCTTTGCACTGAGCCAGTTTCACTCATTGGATTCATAACTCACAAGCACCAAGATGTCTGGTAGGATCCTTGTGGAATTCCTTCTAGGACTATTTCATATGTAGGACAGGATGCATGGGATGTCAGATCCTCCTTATGTCACCTGGGTTTCAACTTGGGTATTTTGTATCTTCTGTCCTGGTCTTGACCTTCCTGCTGTGGTCTCTTAATGGCTTGAACTACTTAGTTCGGAGTAGGTTGTCTTTTGTTATCCCAGTCTGGGCTCATAGGAATATGTACACAGATGTGCTGGGATCTAGGTGCCATTAACATCTGACGCTCCTGTTAGGTCTCCTTCTGCCATCCCTGCTGGTACTTCTTGGCCCAGGCATATCCATCTATTCCATCCATGTACATGAATCTTAACATTTCCATTACAGTCTGCATTGGAACCCACTGCAAAAGCTGTGCTGACCAGTACCCTGCATGAAGTCAGCCATCACCCTCCATGCCAGAAAACACAAACGTAGAGTCATTTCCGATTTTTACTTTAAAAGAAGTTTTGCAAATTGGTAGCAAATCTATGGCAATTTGTAGTAATTTATGTCACCTAGGCCTCTTCCTTCTGTCACTCAGGGCTTTCCCCTTTGCAGAGTATTGAATTGCTAGGCAATGGTTTGATTTCTGGACCTTCATTAATGACAGTATGATTCAGAGTGTTTAACATTAGTAACTGCTGCTTGCCCTATGCCAGGTGTCCATTTCTAGCCTAGAGGTTTTTTGCTCTTGTCAAGTGTCAGGAACTAGATTAAGATAATCTTTCTGCTCACTGCTGCTCTAGTGTCATGTTTTTGTTGCTACTCAGTAACAACGTTAAGCAGACTGAAGTATCTGCATCTGTTCCTGCATGGTTCAGGAAAAGAAAGAGGAGAAATTCCTCTTCTTCCAAGCACTTGCATAAGCAGTATTTTAGGGCAATGGGGCTTTGTCTTTTGATGGGTGCAATACTCAATGCAAATACATCATCATGATCCTTCAGATTGCTTTTAATTTCTACAAGACCTTGTTTTCCTGTTGCTGATGCCAAGCATTTTAGTCACCTTGCAGTTTGTGTCCATTTATTAGATAAGCTCACCTGTCAGAGAAGGATCTAATTGAAATAAAATATTGATTACTTCACTGAATTTTTTGTTTGGGGTGTTGGGTGAGAAGTAAGGGAGAAAAAAGATATTTTTATATCAGCAGGAACAAATAAGGAGCTATGTACTAGCTGTACATGGGGAATACTGTTTTTAAGACATCATGCTTCATTATATGTATGCTGAGAATTCATGCAGTATAATGCAAAACTGAGAAATTTGCACTTAAACAGTTTTTCTTTTCAGGTATATTTTAGATAATCCACATGTTGTTAAGGGACGATCAGTTTTGGATCTTGGAAGTGGATGTGGAGCAACAGCAATAGCTGCTGTGATGAGTGGTGCATCACAAGTCCTTGCTAATGACATTGACCCTAGTAAGGCCTTTTTTTTTTTTTTCCCCCCTCCATCTTTGTGTAAAGATACTTACTTTTTAAAGCACATTTTACAGACTTTGCTTTATTTGGAAGAAATTCAGGCTCCAAGCAGAGTTCTAAGAATGCTAAAAAGATGAATGGATTTTACCAGTATTTGAAGCTGGGCTGTATCAGCCTCTCTTCCACTGACAATACCTCCATAGTTCCTTAGAATGGACAAACAGCGAAGTTCCTATCAAATCTTGCCTATATATCATCATGGCTGGTTTGGAAGAGAAGCCCAAGTGCATGCAGCAGGCCTCTCTGTAGGACCACAGCCCCATCCCTGGAGGCTTTTAAGGCCAGGATGGATGAGGTTTTGTGCAACCTGGACTACTGGGAGGGGTCCTTGCTCATGACAGGGGGGTTGGAACTAGATGATCTTTAAGGTCCCTTCCAATTGTAATGATTCTATGATTTTTCTGCACTTTCATATAATGGGGCCTAGATTTTTGCCTTTTTCCTCCCGATTTTTTCCCCCATAATTAACTTATTAATTCAGTTTATTAATAATTTAATTACTCATTGGTTAGGGAGGAAGTATATCCATAGATTCAGGCAGCTGGATATTCTGGTTTGATTCCATTTTCATTGGTACCATTCCACAAATAGATTTTCCCTGTGTCATGGTGCAATGAGAATAAAATTCCATCACTTTATGCCAGATTTTGACCCCTAATGAAAACTGTGGAAGTCCCTAGATAGGATAAACAAAAATACTTAAGAGATTAAATTGAAAGATAAGTCAAGGAAATTTGTAAGGGGGTTGAACAGCAGAATCTTAAAATGTAACTTTCATTTGACTTTTCTTCAGTTGCAGGAATGGCAATGATCTTGAATTGTGAATTGAACCACCTGAATCCCTTCCCCATCACCATTAAGAACATCATTAATTCAGACGTTGGCAAATGGGACCTAATTGTTCTAGGAGATATGTTTTATGATGAACAACTTGCTGATGGCCTGCATCACTGGCTGAGGAAATGCATCAGGATACAGCAAACTGAAGTGCTCATTGGTGACCCTGGCAGGCATCAGTTTTTAACCCACAGCATTCGCAGTCAATTGCACAAAGTTACAGAATATTCACTTACTGAGCATACTAGACAAGAAAACAATGGATTAACTTCAAGTACTGTCTGGAGTTACCAGCCCTCAAATAGCTCAGAAAACTGTTGAAGCTGGCTTCCTAATGAATTTTTCTCTCATTTGGTTGGCTGTTTTTTTTTTAAGCATATAAAATGAAAATGGGAATTAAACATGGAACAAAGTGTACCTTCAATATACTGATTTCAGTTATACTCACTGAGGCTTTCACTCCATTTGAGGTAAAAAAAGCTACATGCAAACTGTATTCAACTGTATATTGCACTGGATAGTAAATCCAAAGACAAGCTACATGTAAGAGTTGGCATGCTTGATGTTTTTCATGTACTCATGTGTTTTCATGTCTTGCTCTCTTACACTATTGTGGTATATTCTGGACATCCAGCATACTGTGGTGGGGAGAAGGCAGCAGCTGAAATCCTACTGCACTGCTTTCACAGACTTCTGCAGCTTATTTACAGAGAAAATTATTGGTATTGTTTGTAAAACTCTCTACTAGATTATTGGCTCATACTATGCTCAATTTAAAGTGCCTTGCTCTTTTTTCTGGCTATCTCTTCTGAATGTCAAAGTAACTAATTTGGATCTACTCCTTCCCCCCTATAATAAAAATATAGTCATCTTTAAAGCTGCCAGAGTGATTACTTAGGAGTTGCACACAAATCTAAAATATGCTTCTTGAACTCTAGTCAAAGTAAAAGTTTTAAGTAAGTGGAAAGTGACTAAATAGTAATAGCTATTGGGATAACTTTATCCTCCAGAGAGCAGGGTCAAATGATCTGCATTCCCTAACTTTGCAGGGGTAAAAAACACAATCTGTCACCATGGGAAACTTGTGAGGGATGAAGCAATCTTTCCTTCTGCAATGTTTCTAAATGGAAGGTAACTTAACTAAAAACAGGGAATAAAAATTGGATGTAATTATTTTTCTTCTCTCCTGAGGAGATGCTGAACAAGCTCCAGAGTAATTCTCAGCTACATCTGTCAAAGAAGATCCCTCTGCAGGGTGAAAAAAAAAAAAAAAAAGGATCCATAGGTAAGAGGCTGTGAATACAGCCCCTTGAAGAAACCAACATTTTCAGAGCAGTTTTGTAGCAACCGTCACCTTTGGCAATTAACTATTGAATAAGCAGTAATGGGGAACTAACAGCAGCAGAATGGAACACAATTTAGCTAGAACTATCTAAATACTAGGTGATGTTGTAGAAGCTCATAAATGTGAAAATGTGGTGCTCGCTCAGAAAACCAGGTTGGAGCAGGACTAGAAGCACATTCAGATGTAAATGGTCATAAAATATAATTTAACAAGTTTTCAGAACTATCCAAACAGAAGACTTAGAAACTTTAATCTTCATAACAGTATGTGAATATCCTGCAGTGCTCACCCAACAATTGACAACAATAACAATATTCAGACAATACAGAATAGGAAGTGATAAGCACGTACATGCTGGTTTTGTCCCACCTCACTCAGAGCTTGTAAACATGTTGAAAATGGCTGTGATGTAACCTGAATTAAAAAAAAATAAAAACCAGTCAAGTTACACTAGCAATGAGCCCCAAAGAGCAGGATCAGGCTCTGACATTGAAGGTTTTAACATGACTTATGTTCAACTTTCAAACCTAAAAATACAATGTTAATTCATTGCAGTGTTGTACAGATTTTTAAGCACAAAGTGAAAATATACCAATAAGTTGCATATTTAGAAGAGGGTAGAGGAGAAGATAGCAAGTTTACATACACATATAAGGACACAGTATAAGCTGCATTTGCCTCCAACATGGCAATTCTAAGGTTACACTAACAAAGGGAAAAGAGACAACCCTGCCTGTGAAGTTAGCAGTAGCACTGTCTATCCCACAGATAGATTTTCTTTTTTTAAAGTGTCCCTTGCTGTTACAGGTTTTGGTGGTCTTCCACCTTCAGCTGCTTTACATTATCTTCATATATAATTATCTTTCTGCATGTAGCACTTAAGAGTCTGGTGAGCATCACCACACTAACAAACTGAAGGAACTGGGCTTGTTCAGCATGGAAAGGAGAAGATTTCAAGGGATCTCTAAGCAGCATGTCCATGCCTATGAGGAGGCTGTCAGGATGACAGCCAGGCTCTTCCAGCAAGGAGAGGTGTAAGTTGAAAAAAAATAGGTCAAACAGGATAGAAAGAAAAAATTTCCACCATTAATACAAGTCAAGCAGTGGAACAAGTTGCCTCAAAATGTTTTGAAGGTCAGTCTTTCAACACTTGGCTGGATAAAGCTCTGACTAAGCTGGTCTGAGCTGACCCTGCTTTGGACAGGAAGTATAGGCTAGAAACATATACAGGTTGGGCAGAGAATGGTTTGAGAACAGCCCTAAGGAACAGGACTTAGGAGTGTTGGTTGATGAGAAGCTCAACATGAGCCAGCAATGTGTGCTTGCAGCCCAGAAAGCCACCTGTGTCCTGGGCTGCATCAAAAGAAGTGTGGCCAGCAAGTTGAGAAAGGTCATTCCTCCCCTCCGCTCTTCAGAGACTACACCTGGAGTACTGTGTCCAGTTCTGGAGCCCACAACACAAGAACGAGATGGAGCTCTTGGAGCAGCCCCAGAGGAGGGCCATGAAGGTGATCAGGGGGCTGGAGCACCTGTTCTATGAAGTCAGGCTGAGAGAGCTAGAGTTGTTCAGCCTGGAGAAGAGAAGGCTCTGGGGAAACCTAATAGCAGCCTTCCAGTACTTGAAGGGCTACAGGAAGGTGGGGAGGGACTTTTTACAAGGGTATGTAATGGTAGTGGTAGAACAAGGGGTAACGGTTTTAAGCTGAAAAAGAGTGTAGATTTAGAATGGATTTTAGGAAGAAATTCTGTACTGTGAAGGTATTGAGACACTGGAACAGGTTGCTGTGATGGATGCACTCAACCCCTTAACCAAACTAACAGTATTTTAGCACAGGCTTCAAAGGAGGCAAAGGACTGAGCTGCAGCCAGGCCACAAATCCCTGTAGTTTCAGTCTGTTCTCTGAATATCACAATGGAGCAGAGTGACACAGTGCATGAATGCAGAGTGACACATCTATGCATGAGCCTGGCATGCCAATCATGCAACTAACACATGAATAGCAGGTAGCTTTTCCAACATTCATTTATCAAAGAACAAAGTAAATTGTGAGTTCAAGGAGTCTCATGCATACCTTTCCCACCGAGTGTAATCTGATCACAGGCAAACCACTTTATTCCATAAATATGACAGTCTAAGTGAGCCTTCTTTGAACCTTCCTTTGCTAGGTAAAGTGGCTGCATGGCAGTGATCTCCCCTTGAGCTGGGACACCTCTCCAGGGTGCTGCTTGAAGCACAGAAACCTTTTACCAAGGCACGTCTTTGGTATGTGGCAATAGCATGCTGAATTGATACTAATGAAACACCACTAATCCATGGAGCTATTAAATATTATTATAAGCTTAGTATAGATAATTCCATTAGAGATAAACCACTGACAAAGTCTGAGACTAAGACTGGATCTAACCACACCTAAGCTCCACCAGGAGTTCAGAAAGCCGGGGGGGGGGGCATTCTGAACCTTGTGACTCCATGCCGGGGGGGTTCTTTCTTACCCTCCTGCATCTCCGGTCTCTGTATGAATCATTCTAACACAATGCAGTAATTACTCAAATGTACCTTGCCATCCAATCTCGTTATACTAGGTTCACATTTATCACTGAGCTTTGTTATCAGTAAAATATACTGTTGAAACATCTTGTCAATTCTCTCTTTTGAGGGAGGTGCACTCCAGTAACTTTACAACAAATTGGCATAGTCAGCAGGATCCTAAATCAGACTTTGCAACACTTCCACAGAGGCATTATGGATGCGCCCTCCTCAGAAGTGTTCAAGGCCAGGTTGGATAGGGCTTTCAGCAACCTGGTCTAGCAGGAGGTGTCCCTGCCCTTGCAGGGTGCTTGGAACTAGATGATCTTTATGGTTTCTTAGAATCCAAACCATTCTACGATATACAAGATTATTTTATTGGTTATAGCTACTACTCTGAAATTTGTTGAGTCACCACAGTAACTTCCAAAGCAATTTTATGTTTACATGTTCACAGACTGTACTTTTGGATATGTAAAAAAATCCATCAAATTATGGTAAATAAGACATCTCAGGCATTAGAAACATCAAAAGAAAGGTACCTACAGTTTTTCCTCCAGAGCTAGGAAAAGTACATGGTGAAAGGAGACTGTTTGTTACTACCTAAAATACACTTACATTGCTGTTAATACCACCTCCACTCATTAGTTCTATCTGTTGATTTTTGTCAGATTAAGTCCCAACTTTACACACACTTCTGCCTATATGTTAATACTATGCTTGGTCTTGGTACTTTTAGTTAAAACTACATATCAGACAACAACCTCAGAACAGAGACTTACTTAAACTGGATTTGTACACATAGCTAAGACACTAAGCAGCAGTTAAATCTGATACTTCAAGAATGCTGAGCAATGACAGTGTAATATTAATTATTGCTTAACTTTTCTCTTAAGGAAGTATGACCAGTGATGCAAAGACAGACAGGGGTCTAAGTAGAGACAATGAGGAAGCCAAGACTCACAGGCAAGGACTGGAATGACGATGGAGACCTCTGGTGGGAACAAGGAAGGAAGCAAGCAATCTGGTAGTACAAAAGTCACCAGCTACTTCTCCAAGGTGCTCCTTTTCTGAAAGAGCTCTCCCATCTGTAAACTTTACACTCATAAGAACACAATAAATGATCAATAAACAGTCCATGTTACGTGCTTCATTTTGTTTGATATGACTAGCTGCTCTAAAACGTCTCGGGAACGATCTGCAAAAGAACCAAGGAATTTCTGGTTATTCAATTAAAAATACAAATAGGTGGCACTTAAAAATTGGGCAAACAGCAAAAAAATTCAATTCTATATCTGTACTTATGCTCATCTTGCTATTTATGCTTATCTTGCTATTACAGTATCACACTTCAGATATATCTGTAGTAATTCAAACCTACTTGGTTCCTTCTCCAATCACATAACTGTAAAGTATTACCAACCAACCAAGTTTAAAAAAACCCAAGATAGATCATAGCATGTTTCTTTCACACTGACCAGCCCTATTCCACTCCACTGTTTCTTGAATGGATGCTGTTCCATACTTTTGGAACAGAGTAGGGATTTAAGATGCTAACATATCTTTCTGAGCCTTATCATCAAGGTGGTCATCATCATTTGGGTCTTCATCAGCATGCTGGGGGGGGAGGAAATCCACAAAAGAAAAAGAAATCTCTCTGAATGTTGCCATATTTCAAAGCAAAACTCTCAGCTTGCTTTGAAAAATCTCAGTGTATGATTATTATTTCATCTAGCAAGTTATCATTTGCTTGGGATTAAAGTCTAGTGTGCTTTTCCAGAGAGCAAGGTCATACTATCAGGAAGTAATTTCTCTTCTATCTCCCTGCATGATTTGACCTACCTGTTATCAATGGGCATCCATGGAAGAGAAAAATGTGTATCTTTGGACAACAAGTAATGACTGCTTCCACAGCAACGTCGGTCAGATTCACGCAGCGTTCCATGTGGATCTCCTGTTATGAAAACAGCAGCAACAAAAGCCTGTCAAGAGCAGCTGCAGTTTTGGAGGCAGAGCTTTCCTTTGCACAGCCATTTTCAGAGATCCCTATACAGAAGAAAATATGACCTATTACTCCTCTGTGCATTGACCCTATATGTGGTCCTGTAAATACATGGCAAATACCCTCAGGAAAAAAACCCCACAGCATTTCTATGAAGAGTCAAAACAAAAAACAAACCTTTTCCCAAAACACCTGTATCATTCAAGACAATTGGGGCACTGCTACAAAGAGAAAGAAAATACTTAGTTCATAACCAAAATCCAGACAAGTGTGTACACAAAGGCAAAAGTCAGTCACTAAAAACATCCCTCTGAAGTAATACTACTACTACTACTACTAATTTAAAAATACAGGTATGTGCTTTTGTTCATTTTTTTGTTAGCAAGTTACCTTTAAATTCTTTGAACATGTTCCACTCACTAGTGCTACAACGCCATCATCTGTTACCTAGAGAAAATAACACATTATTAACACAAAGGATTTTGGTTAGTTTTTTTTCAAACACAGCTATTTGGGGGGGAAAAAATAAAATATTAATTTATTCACTCCCTGCAGTCACTGAATACACTTGATATCACAGTATTTTCTTCCCAACTAAGCCTGTAGAGAAAGTTATCCAAGCATGGTTTTCTTTACTGTTGCATTTCACTGCAGTGTGACCCAGTCCGGCTCTCCACAGGGGATATTTCCCACTGTGTAACTGTTATTTCTGCAGTTTCCTTTTCTTATTTAACAGTGGGTACACTATTACTGTCAGAGCATGGCACTTTAATATATAGAGTTTAAAGCACTTCTACTCTACCTAGACCAATTTTTCTCCTGCTTCTAGGACTGCCAGATATGTTACTGAAGCAAGTCTCTTGAGTTGAGAAAAAAAAACCCATACAAACCACAACAGTCTTTCATCTGCTGTCTTACTGTTACATATCTTGAAGCAAGCCAGTTATATCAGAAAAAAATCCCTTAAACAGTCTTACAGCAGTCATCATACACTTGCACTAAAAGGTAATTGGCTACAGACAGGCATGAAGCAGTAACTACCTGCAAGAGAGCAGAGAGACAAAAGAGATTCCTTTCCTTGGAAAGGCAAGAAGAGCCAACTAATTCGTTTACATCCAGGTATCAAATTAATTAAACTTCCTTCCCTCTTCAAAAGCTAGATTGGATATCAATTGTGACACAGGTTTTTTTAGAGCTTATATTATCTAGCTGGCAGAAACAGTAGTCATCAAATACACACAGTAAGATTCCACCAAATTTGACAGCTAGATTCCACAGATCACAGGCTTCATTTCTGTTTAAAAATTTCATTGTTCCCATAGTGAAAATTGTCTTATTGCCTTCTTGTCCTCTATTGCAATGGAGGCAAATAATTGTACAGAACTGCAATAGAAAGGGTCAGATCAGTGCAAATGGAGAATGGATAGGAATGTCCCAGAACAGAGGCACATAAAGGCCTGTAAGAATGGCAGGTGTTGTCAGTATCCAACTTAACAGGTCATCAAGAAGACAGCACTTTAGCTCCTCAAGACACCCACACCAAGAGACAAAGGGCAGTAAATTAATACATTTTAATTACTACCATAAGTGGAACAGAATGGAGAAAACAATCACTGTCAGTTCCCAAAGGGCATAAAATGGCACATTCAAAGCCAGTGCACGGTCACCAACCCAAGTAAAGCAACAAAGAACTGAAGTGATAAAGATTGCCTCTGTACCTTATCCTCCATGTCACCGAATCAAACCTAGCCCAGGCTGCCTGGCTGGTGTCTGAATACTGGAGACACCATCCAAATGTTACTGCCCTGATGCTTATGAGTGCATGTTTATGACAGTATGAAACAAGTTTTGCATTGAAACAAAGTTCCCTCAGTTCCCTGTACAAGCCCACTTGTAACCACTGCTATCCTACTTTTGTTTCCCACTCTACCAAGTACCTACCTGCACTGCCTGTAACACCACATCTGTCCACTCTCATCAAGGGATACTCTTGTTTTGGGGATAAACCACCTGCAGTTACTACCAAGCCACAAATACATCAGCTTCTTGGTACAGACCAGCTGTTACCAAACTCTGTATGCAACTCTAGCAAAGGCTTACACAGCCCAGAACCAGCAGTTAAGCACACTACCAACCTTGCTCTGTTCTACATGAGAAGCGTCTGGACAGATAAAACAGATAACCTGCAACACTCCTGCTTCTACCAACATATTTTGCAGAAAACTAAACTGTCCCACATGCTACACAGCAAACTATTGCAGTTTGCACAGCCCCTTCAGGCAAGATGCTTCCCACAATTATTTGCCATACACCAAGTCAATGAACACTAAAGAGGTGCTGGGCTTTGGACTCTTGTGCCTGTGTTTCTACCTGTTAACACTGCTGGGATTTAGAGCACACTAGAAACAGAGCAGTAGGTACAGGTTTTATAGAACCTACCTCTTCAGAATGGTAACATAAGCATATTGCTAAGTAAACATAAACAGATTTCTTATGCAGTCCTGGGCAAGCGTGAAAGAGTTCTTCAGGCCAAGCTTGAACTCACACTGTCTGAGTGCATCTAGGGGACACAAAGCTACATCTCCTCCTTAGTTCTATCCTTCCCTTGCCTCACCTGCCCCATTTCTTGTTATTTTGCAGCACTTTCATACCTTCCTACTTACTGCACTTCATCTCTGCAGTTACCAGATAAGCCTATTTTTAAAATGGCTACATCACTTTGAGGCATTTAGCCCTTTTGCAGTCTACCTCACATCTGCTCCCTTGTTCTTTCAAGTGAACTGTGCCCTTCTTTTCCTGTTCATTTATTTACATAGTTCTCCCTGTTATACTTTTTCACACAGCTTTCTGAGTTCCACTTGGTATTTTTACCATGCATTCTGGTAATCAAACACAAGAATATGGTTAGGCCTTGCAATCTCTACAGGCATAAGGCATCCATAGTTCCTCTGCTTCATCTTAAACTTGTTTCATTTATATCCAGCATACATTTCCATTTACTTTTAGTCAAACAAAACTCAGAATTCTAGTGTATGATCATTATATGACCATCAGAAAGGCAAAAAAAACGTGAAAATGTTTAGTTACTTAAAAAGCTTTAATCTTATTTAACACATATAGAGGGAAACTTACCTATTATACATTAAGGAAGAAAGAGGCAAAAGAACAAAAGGGTAACAAAGCAAGTTTGAAGAAACAGAATTAAATAATAACAAGAACCATCACCACCAAAATATTAAAATTACTTTTGATGCCCTACTCCTGTAAAACCTGGAAGAATAGCATCTAAAATAAGAACCTGCTACATGTTTTCCAGATCTGACACTTCATTATAAATGCTATGTGCTTGACAAACATTCAATGTAATCACTCACCATCACAGTCAACTGAACGCTACACTTATTGCAAAAAATTCTTTCCCCATTTTCATCATTTTACTGGAATTATGATATATGTTACAATATTGCTGTTGCAGCTGACTTCCCCTTCTCATGCTAAATACTGTTGTTAAATCCTCTTACCTTTCTGACATTTTAAATAATTCTTTTCATGTTGACTCCACAACATCACTCTGACAAGCCATTCAGAAAGCACAGTCACTTTTGAACTAGAACTCACTATGAAGTGTTTACTTCTACTAAGGGCTTATATTGTTGTAACATCCTGTATCATTATTATTCATGACAGTTTGTCCTAACTAAAAGTAGAAAATAATCTGTCCAATATTCCACTTAAATTAAGATGCATTTTGGATTACTTTACATATCAAAGAAAATGATTGCACTAAATAAAGATACGGAAAAAAATCTCCAATCTTAGGTACATTCTAATGAAAGTTTATCTTTGGTCCATAATACATAATGTAACATGAAAACGTTTATTTTTATGGTTAACAAGAAGCAAAAGATATCCCTCTTTTTCCTTGAGGAGGAAGTGAACTGTGATCCTAAATCTTGTCTAGAGTGGAGCTGAAAAGATTCCATTTCAATTTTATCATGACAACCTTTAAAAATATATGAACAAAAGTAAATTATCCAATAGCCACTATCATTACCAGAGTAGATGAAAAATCCACACTGTGAAGAAATTGGCAGTTTTTTCCTAGTGCCTGCAGAGATGCATCCATGATGCCTAAGCAGCTGCCCAAGTTCACTATTTGTAGGAACTGGCAGTTGAGTGCAAGAGCAAGAACTCCACTGTCAGTTATATTGCAGCACCTTTTAAAAGACGCTTCACGCAGGTAAGGGCAGGATAAGGCCAGTGCTGTGACACCTGTTAAAGAAACAGAGCAATTCAAAGGATTAGCCATTTTCTAACTTAACCACCATGCTGAATACATCATACTGTCTCTTGGCCATTGCTCAACTTTCATCTCACACCATGCCAGCAAGACTCTGTAAAACAACATAGTTTTGTGGCTGGTTTCTTCAAATTCAAGGATGAGAAAAAGAAAATTACAGTGAACAATGCTGGAGTTGATAAACTCTAAATGCTGAATTCCCCTCCATACTGTGGAGGGATATCTGAGGGACGTTCTATACATGAGGTATCACCTCAGTAAGCATATGAAAAAAAATCCACATCTTCAAAGCAGACTAATGATAGTTCTAGGTCCCAGTGATAGTGCAGTGAATATCAGGCAAAAAGCAAGCTAAGAGGTCATGTCCAAGGTCAATTCAAGAACTCAGAACAACAGTTCAGAAGCAGGACAGGAACCAGCTACACCTATGACACACAGCTTAGGCCAGGACTGAAGATCTACAGTCTGCTGGTGTAGGTAGGTGAGGCAGGTAAGACCCATCATGGCCATTAGGGTCTGTTGGTGCTCTCAGAGCCCTGACAGTAATAATCAAAATACTTGCACAGAAGTGCCAGGAGGTAGTCAATAAAAGTACATTCATTTATTTGAAGGATGATGGAAATATGATTGTTTTAGCTCTGCAGAAAATTGCATCAATTCTGACCAGATAGAAATAAAAAGATGAATGCCATTAAGATACTTTACTATGCAAGAACTTCAAAGAAACATCAATAAAATAGTACTTGCTGGGTCAGAACCCCTTTGCAAAGAATTATAGAAGAGGCAGTAATAGTAGTTGAATTTGACACAGAAGAAAGTACTACTGGATTTTGTATTAAAGGACACTAAATGTTACATATATATAATCAAAACATAAAACAAGATTTGTGGGAACTAAAACTCAGCAGGCTTAACTCTTTTAAGCTAATAGCTCCTGATACAACTTGAAATTGGAGTTTAAAAACCAACACCTGAAATCCTAAAGCCCTAAAGCGACTGAAGCCTTTTAAGTCAGAGAAGATGCTATAAGCTTGTTTAATAATAAACACATTTATGTTTAATAATAAACACATTTAATTTAAAAAGGGGCAAAAAGTAATCTAGGAAATCACAAGCCTGAAACTACAACCCCAGTGGTACCGGTAAGGCTTTAGAGCAAGTTTAAGGAAGGAATAACTAAGATGAAGTGGACGATATGACCAAATGTAGCAGAGTTTTACCAGAAACCTAGCATGACAGTAACCCAATAGCTCTCCTTCATAAAATAATCAGTGCTCTAGGCCTATAATTTACACCACTGAAGTGACTTTGAATTTGTATTTGTCTGGCACTGGGGATTTTTTTAAGCAACTTACCCCAGATATTTTTCACAATTTACTCCAACCTAACAAGGAAAAAAACCCAAACAAAACCAGATCTAAAATCCAAGTTATTTGTGCATAGATGACATACCTTCTGAAGTTATTCCCAATCTCTCTTCTTTGCAGGAATTTAAGTTGATTTTTTTCAACTGCTTGCAGTTACAAAGCTGTAATAATGCATTATCTGAAATTCGACAGTCTCTGAGGTCTAGAGACTCTACAGCAGGGTGCAACACCTGTAACGAAAACCTACCATTTCAGTCCAATTCTGCTTTGTCATAGAACATGCATATCTTTATCTACCATATATATAATATCAGACAACACACAGAACTTCTCAAAAACATTCACTTGAGAATAGGATTACCAGTCCTAGCAATTAAAACCTCTAAAGAAAATATGGTATATTTGCTGCAACAGTTCATCTCCTGTAGCATGAACGTTCCATTACTGTGATATCTGGAGCAGGAGCATGTAAACACTATTATTTAAATAGCATAAATACTATTTTGATATTACAATTGCTAACACTAGTGCTTCTGCCAGCATAGACATGTTTAGCAAGGATGATACCCTCAAACTTTCACAGCAGAAATCTGAAGACTAAAAAAATACTGACTTGGAGCAAAACTGAAATTCAACTGATTCGCTGGTAAGGGTAATATTTGAAAGATATTTTGCCCCAAAGTATTTTTCTTACCTACATATATACTCTAGTAAACCAGCAATCTCACTATCATACCATGACGAGGTTCTAAATCCTCATTAAATATGCTTTCTCACTCCCACAAGACCATAGGTTGGATTTTTTGTGAAATCTTCCCTAAGAGGGCAGGTGTTGAGATGAGGTTTTCACATTATCTTATACTAATCCCTTCAAATTGTCATTTCCTTCCTTAACTCACAAGGATAAAAGCACACAGAAAATTTCCAGGCACCAGGCAAGATAGCATAGCTGACAGGGTTGTAGAAGGCTTATTGCTTTCTCAGGTTCACCATTCTAACAGGTACAATAAAGATATTACAAGAAATACTGGTTTTTTGTTTTGCAAGTATATGATGCTAGAATCTTTACTGACAAAGTCAAATAGACTTTTTGGAAAAAAAGGAAAAAAAACTGCTAGTAGGTTATAATTGCAACCTTTTTGCAAAATGAATGCCAGACCTTGGACAGCTTTGACAGCTTTTTTTACCCAAATGCTAAAAGCCTTGAATATTTCTATTCATGCCAAACTTCCACTATTTCCCACAATATAGTTCTGAGCAGTTTTCAGAAGATAAAATTCTGTTCTCGTTTCACTCATACCTCTGAATTCACACCTAAGGAACCAGAGCAGTCAAACTCAGAGATGGCATGCTTAAAGCCAAAGTAACCACCAATGTTTACACAGGACTTTTTTCCCTGACTTATGTCTTTCTTTCCCAATTCCAAATTGCCCAGGACACAATAAAAGTTAGCAAACTGCTGTTTTTGAAGCCACACAAGAATCTTATGAGAAAAAGAACCATTAGAAGCAATTAAGTCTAAATAGGAATTACTACCACTGCCTATTTAAAGCAGCAAGAGTATTAAGCTTCCCAAGCCCCTGATTTTTCACATGCTCAGGTACTTAAGTTTTGCTTTCCATTGTGATTCACAGACTTGGAGGTTTCCTTATCCATAGCAGTGGGCTTGGAACTAGATGACTTTTAATGTCGCTTCCAATCCAAACCATGCTATGATTCCGTGACATTCACTGAATACATATACTAAAATCTAATCTGTCTTGAAAAAGATGGTATTTCAGACAGACTAATGACTGTTTGCATGCAGAGTACAGGAGATGAAAGTATAGATTTAGATCCTGTGGACAAATGCTGAATGGCTTTATATATCTTTATGGTAAAAGTGAGTTGGAATAATGAGTTTAGGATGCATGCCACAGAAGGATGCTCCAAGCAAAAAGCCGTGTATGGAAAAAATGCATTATTACACAAATCTGTGCAAGAACAGGGAGGTAAGAGATGAAATACAAGTTTATACATAACTGCAAATTAACAGATTTTCAACTGCAAGAAAGTTAAGCTCAAGCAAAATGCTTAAACAATACCACTGAAAGGACATGCAGACAAGCAAATGAGATAACATAGCCTGGAAATCTGGAACAGAACTAGCCACAATACTGTGGAGACTATGACAAAAAGGGGCAGGAGGGAAGGAGTAGCAAAGAAAAATATCCTTATCCATATGGAAGACTAACTGATATGTTACAAGTGTGCATTACAGAATACTTCTGTTGTACATGATGTGAGTTAGTAACAGTAAGAAGAGCTAAACCATTTTTTACTTGGCTTATTGTTTACCGTGAGCCATTTTTGCTATGCCAAGCAACAAGAATATCTGCAAGATGAAAGGACAGGAAAACTGAAGAGCTAAGTGGTATGAAGAAACAGTATGAATACAGAATGCAAGGGGTAGCTAGCATTTATTTTTTCTTAATGCAAATGAGATAAATCTGGAAACTTAGCAAATAAAGCCAAGGTATAACATGTCCAAGAAAGGGATGACAGTTGAAGATAGAATTGTAGGTAATTGCAGGATCAGAGAAAGAAAAACATATGAGAAAAAGAACCAGATAAGCATATTGCAGTGCCAGAGGGAAAATAGTTTCCAAGAGAAGACCAACTGTTGAATGAAGACAAAGGCAGATGACATATTGCAGAAGAGATGGAGGAAAGATTGTAATTTAAACTCCCTAGTTTTTTCCAGGCTAAAGATATCCTAATAGGTTTCATGCATTTACACATACACATGATTTTAATAATATGCATCTCTTAGGATGCTTACAGTAGACTACTTACTTAAAAAGTAGCCAAAATCAAATATAATCAACTTGCATTTGCCAAAATACAGTAAATGAATGAGACTCCAATTTATCATTGAAGACTTATCTCTTACAATTAAAAAATGGTGCATATTCAAGATAATTTTTTTTTGTTTCTGAGTTTTCCATGGTACTTCTGATTTTGCCTCTAGTCTTGGCTTCATCATTCTGTCTCTGAGAAACTGATACTATTTGTATCTTTGAAGATACAGGTCAAAACAGGAATGAAAAGGAAATAATTAATTTTCTGTTTCACCAAGACCAAGCTTTAGCCTTCCTCCATTCTCATGCCTCCCTTTGAGACTAAACAATATAACAGTAGACAGATACCCAAACAGATGGACCCCTGAATTTACAGCTAAAGAAAAGCCATTAGCAAGTTTCATTTTGAAACACTGACAGACATCAGCAAGCAAAAAGAATAAAAAAACTTGATCTATCAATTTCTAGCCCTAGTAGCATCATATTTCAAAGAACCAAGATTTAAATAAATTATATGGAGATCGTGTGCATAATGTTGATAGAACGTAACAGAAATCTAACAAGTTCCTGAGATCTTTTAATTACTAAATTATTCACTAGTTTCTTGAAACATACAACATTCAGAAACAGAGACTGGTTTGCAATAGAAGCCTCATTTCTCATACTGAAAATGAGTAATCTATGTCAGATGATTACACAAGTCAGTTATCACTGAAGGGAGAACGTGTTTAATTTACATGTCACCACAAACAATCTTATTACTACTAGCATAGGACTATTAGCACTATAGAGTTTAAGCAACAAAAAAAAAAAAGTAAAAAAAATTACACAAGTCAGTTATCACTGAAGGGAGAACGTGTTTAATTTACATGTCACCACAAACAATCTTATTACTACTAGCATAGGACTATTAGCACTATAGAGTTTAAGCAACAAAAAAAAAAAGTACAGATAGGACAGAGTAAGCAGGCCTGAATTTATCTGTTGTTTCATGTAGACAGTTTTAGTTAGGTTCTCCTTGTGTATTAACTAACATAGACAGAACAGTTCTGAATGGGTTCTTACCTCACTGATATTTGAATCAGTTATTTGCCCTTGCAAACTCATTAATTTAATCAGTTTATCCTTTATGTTGGGTGGTAATGACTTTAAATCAGCAGCATATCTGGATAGGTTCTTTGTCAGACATCGAATGCATCTGCAATGAAGGAAAGTTACAGTATGGTCAAAAAAAGGCATCACATATTAGAACTAGAATAATCAAGTCATAAGACCTCATCTTCTGCATCCAGCTATGCTGCCTTCAAACCTTATCAGTTCCAGCTGTTCCATGCCACCACTTCAGTTACTGCCCTTGGGGTTAATCAGCTGATCCTTCTGTGCAGGTGTTCCCTAATCAACTGCAGGCAAAAATTAGCCTAACTCACAGCAATCACCAACCCAGCTCACAACATGAGTTTGCTGGTAGTATATTCACAGAACAAGCTTCTTCCCTGGTTTAGCCTACACTTGACAGACAGTAAAATCTTTAGTTGGGACAGCTAGCTCCAGAGAAGGGAAACTTCTCTTTCAGCTCAGTTAAAAACATTGAGGAGATATTTTCAGATGTAGTATTTTCTTCAACGTCTAGTTTGTAGTACACTTTTAAAACTAGCTGTGCTGTGTAACTCTGAGCTCAGCCCTTTTATCCTTTTCCTTAAAACTAGATTTGATCACAGAATATTGTCACTTGAGGCAGACATTTTTCTGTCTTAGTGGGGTCCAGGAACTTGCAGATCAACAAGCTCGTGGTCCTACAAAGTAGATCAGGCAAATAAAATAAGCAGTGGACACACAGGGGAGAAAGCGAACCCAGTTGGATTTTGAGAAGACATTCAAAAAGCCTCATCCACAATGGTTCTTCAAGATATTAAGCTGCCATGGGATGAGAATAAAGGTTCTCACACCCACTGCTTGAAATCCTATCACAATCAGAAGCATTGATTGGTTTGACTCAGTACAGCCATTCTTTATTTTAATAGCTGTGTTTTAGGTCTCCTTCCCCCAACATGCTTATTCATCAGAATAATTTATCAACCTAAAAGAAAACAGCTCAACTATCCGGGCTAGAGATTTTGAACTAACAACAATGCCAACATACACTGCATTTTCTATACATCATAAACACCCTGCTCCCTGGGTACCTTCTGTATTCACGGTCAAAACTGCTTCCCTGTTCAGAGAAATCTGTTCTCTTTGCCAGACGCTTAAATTTGACTTGCACAGTTTCCCTCATCAGATACTGCTACGTGACAAATTGCAACCAAATCTCAAAGACACAAAGGACTTAAGTATCAATCTGAAAAGGAAGAACTAGGCAGAAATAAGTATTAATAGGCCTACTATAATCACAGAATGCTGGGTGATGTTTTAAGATAGATTTGAAACCCTAGAATTTTATCTGAGTACAAGAAAATGGGATAATTTCAGTCAGAATATGCTAAGAGGCTCCAGATGGAGCAGATATTTTTGGAATAAAAGATTAAGAACTTTACTTCAGCAAAATAAAACAGAGATCAGTATTATCCAGATATATGTGAAATAGTACCCAGGTGGAACACTTGAAATAATGCTTTTCAAGGTCAAATATACAGAGTATTAATTTATGTAATATTGAGTACTATAGAGGGACAGTAATAATGCAATCCTACTTCTAAGATTCCTAAGGCACTTTAATGCATCATAGGATACATAAAACGTTAATGTCCCAATCTCTGCAACTTTAAGTTACAACCACAGACTTACTGAAACACCTGGGCGAACTCTGAGAAGACTTTATGAAGAGCTTCTAAGCATCTTCTTCACAGCAATCGCCTCTCAGAAACATACCAAAAGACAATTGCTGGTCCTTAAGAATTGAAACTCTGTGAAAGGAGATTTTATTATGTATATAAAAAAAAAGTCCCTAGATATATGAGGAACACAAACTTAGAGCAAAGCTAACCAACACCCAGGGATAACAGAAAAGTAATATTCTGTTGCCTAGGAAATGCCAGGACTTTAAAAAGCAAAACTAAAATGGAGGGAGTTGAAGTGAGGGAGGGAAGGGTAACTCCCCACTGTCCTCTTGTTTAGAAACCTGAGTTCACATAGCCAATGGAGTGCTTTGAAGGTTCTATTACCTATTGATCATAGCTACCTGAATTAGATTCCCTGGACAAACTTTTATTTTTAAATCCTATTTAAAATGTTGAAAGAAAACATTACTATCCTACAAAACATTTTGCTTCTGTGGAATCAACATTTTTCCATTAACTCACCCTACTAGTAAATTCAGAGCAGCTACTCTTACTGCTCAGAAACTCTCTCTACTGTAGTTAGCATCAATACTTTCATGTGGTCTGGATACACAGAGCAATAACCAAGACTAGCAAGTAAAGAGTGCAATGCATTCACCTGGCAGACATATTTTTTGCTCAGTTGAACTTCATAAAAGAAGCCGTGAACTCTGTTTTTCATGGACAGGCAAAACCTCAAACTGCTTCTTCTCTACTCCACATTATCAGACTTCTTACACCAGATGTTTTTAGTTCAGAGTTGTCTACAGGGTCAAATGGCACATTCTTTTGTTTCAAATGTGTCAAGAGGTGCAGAACAGAAAAGGCCTACGATCTTTAACCTTAAGCTTTATAACAAGCCAAACGTGTATCTTCAATACATAAGACAGTATTATATTTTTTATGATTATTCTACAAATACTAAGCTATGTCACATGAAGCAGAATAGCAGAACAGATGTTAGAAGTGGGACACAGAATAAGTATTGAACCAGAAAAACTGATACTAAAATTAAATTTTTCACAGTTGCACAGTGAGCTGTTCAGCATCTGATCTGAATGAAAATTCCCTTCGCTAAACCTGTGAGGTCACAGAAATAATACTGCCAAAAGAAATAGCTCAGGGCAGGGAGGAGCAGTCCAAATTAGAGTGTGTGCATACCCCCAACTCTCATTTTATTGCAAGAGAACCTTGTATGGCACCAGAATGCCACCAAATCACAGCAAATTAAACACATACTGATTAAAAAATCTATAGAAAATATTATGGCTCTATAATCTGAAGTGTGGCACAGATTTAAACAAGGAAAGAAACAAGACTTCCTGTATGGAAATACATTAAAAAGCTCACTAAAGTTACACAGGGTAGTAAGGGAACCTCTAGCAGGTCACTGTGTAAGACATTGTTAACGAGGAAACAGTGATTTCAGGTGGAGTTTAACCATGGCCTCTGGTTGCAGAGACCTGTATGTCAGCATGAGTGACCATAACAAAACCCAAGCACACACAACATGATGGCCTTTAAATTGTTCCTCTGGAGATGTGCAGAATGAGATGGTTTTAGTGTACCTGGGTGACTGCTGAATGAACTTGGCTGGCTGACTGACTGCAACGGGAAGCCTGTACGTGGCTCCAACTCAGTACATGTACAGGTAGATTACATCACCCATATTCTTTGCCTTGAGATTAAACAGCATACCTACATGTAACATTCTGTTACTTGACTGCAGAAATTAAGAATAGTTGTTTACTTCTTAAAAAAATCTAATCAAATCTCTAAAGACCATGAGTGTGAAGCTCACCACAAACAGGATCTGTGCAGCATGCTGATCAATGTGAAGGGGCTGGTCTCATATTGAGATAGGTGGGGCCCTCAGCATCAGAAGGGACATAAAACTGCTATTGTGTTTTCTACTACTACTATTCTTTATGCAATAAACCAGGTAACTAGCCTTGAGAGCCATGCCTTTCTCACCAAGATCCCAAATGAACCAGCACCTCCTTGGTGTAAAACAGCACCCTACCTTTGGACAGGGCAAGTCAAATACACTTTATGAGCCTTCTGTTGGGCTTTGTGTACACCTACTTTGTGACTATTCCCTCTTCCATGATGGATCCCTACTGAGTCATGTGAATGGGCAAGCAGTCCTTCTTCATACAAGGGTACACGTTTCAGTTATGTGTTAAATACATATTTGTCTCATCATACCTACATTTTGGCCACTGGGTAAATGGACTTTTCTGGCAAACCACGCTGAAGGAGCCAAACTGTCACCATGTACTGTAGAACATAAAACCAGCTGTATCTAAGAACTTCATACAAACTTTTTTTTTTTTTCCTTTTGAAGATATTAAATGGCTAATGCAGCCATGCCTGAGTAGTGACATGCAAATCTAGACCAACTCTTTAGTTTAAACTTGCAGAAAACACTCCAAAACCAATGCAGCTGCATGGAAAACAATGTGAGCTATGACAAGTCTCCTAGTTACATTTCACTGTCTCTTGTAATACAATTTTAAATTTAGCTTGAGAGAAAAGCTTGAGATTAATCACATTATTTTGAAAAAGCTGGTTAGATTCCCAGAGTACATTACTGATCCGCAATTTAAACAATAATTTACATTACAAATATTTTCAGCGATGATACTTCATAAAAAACAATACAACACTTAATTGGTTACACCAATATTGGCAACTATAATCTTATCTTCAGGGCTTTGAAAGAAGAATAAAAGTCTAAGATTAACTGTGTTTTTTGCTAGCTCAAATCTGTCAAATTAAATATTTTATTCCTAAGCTATCTCCTAACTCCCTCCTAAACATAAAGGAGATTGACATCATGAAAAACTCAACGCAAAACACCGGACAGTGCATTCACTGGGGCGAGGTGAAACCAGCGATCCTCCCCCATCCCGCCACACCTCGACCCGCCAGGGATCCTCCCGTTACCCACCTGTCAAACGCTGCCACCTGCCCTCTGACTCCTCCCGAACTGCCACCTCTGCCAACCCCTGGCACCTACCCTGCCACCCCTCCCCACCCAGGCTGCCAGGCCCTGCCCTGTCTCGCAGCCCTCCCGGGCAGCCCCCGGGGCAGCCCCCCTGGCGCTGCGCTCACTGGAGGCCGCGGCCCGGCTGTGAGAGCAGCGCTCTGACCCGCCCGGCCCAGAGCCCACTGGGCTGTCCGGCAGGCACAGGGTATCCAGGCGGTCACCGGCTCCGGCCGGCGGTGCCGAAATGGCGGCGGCTGCGCACGGCATGACGGGAGGTGTAGTCCTGCCGCCCGGCCCCGGTGCTGGGGCGCCCCCCGGGGCGGCCTGAGGCGGCGCGAGCCCGCCGGGCCCCGCCCGAGGCTCGGTGCTTAGGGCGCAGTGTG